GCATGACCGGGGGCTCACAGGCAGGACACTGGGGTCTTGCCTGCTTCTACTTCCTTCCCCAGGACTGTGTTGTAGACACAGGACTATATTTGACCCCCAGAGACACTTCATTACCAACTCAAAAACAAACAAAAAATCCTCTCAGCTGGAGATTTTTCACCTGTCAGACCAAAAGGATTTTCAAAAACTTTCTCTAAAGGCCCAGGACAGAGTAGCTGGCAGGAAGTACAAGTTATTAGAAGAGATTGCAAAGAGAAGAGAAGCCAAAAACCTACATGCTTGGAGATTTCCACCCTGGGGCATAAACACCCTGGGGTATAAACACTGCTTAGTCAGTTGTTGAGGGCCAGCTGCTGCAGGGAGGTTACCTACTGCCTCCAGTCTCGGTTTTCTTATCAGTAAAAGGAAAGAGGGACTGTTCCCTCTCTCCCCAGAGCCTGATGGCAGAGAAGGGTAGACAAGACCTGAAATCCCAACAAGGGCCTAGGGAGGGGCATGGCCCTGGAGGACGACCACGTCATGGAAGCTTAGCTCTGGCTCCTGCCCAGGGTCTAGCTCTGTCAGGCTGTGCGGGGCCCAGCGGCCTGGGTCTGGAACTCATCAGCCCCACCTGTCAGCCTCCCCAGCGGCTAGTGGGGACCTTCCTTATCAGTAAGGAGAGTGCAGCCCAGAGAGTGTGGCTCAATCCAGGGGCCCAGTATCCCTTCCCAGCTGGGGATCTTCAGGCAGCAAGCTTTAGCAGTGTTCCTATCAGCCAAGCACCCCAGATTTGACTGAACTCTGTTATATCCAGGTAGCACAAAATATGTGGAGACTTCACTCATATAATAAATATTTATTGAATCTACAGTGTGCCTGGCCCTGAGCTGTTCCAGGAATCTGACAGAAACTCCTGCCTGTGTTCTAGTAAAAAAAAGTTGTCAGGGGAAGCAGAAGTGTGGTGGGAAATAAAAGAGAGCAATTCACTTTACATGAGGCGGAGAGAACTCTGTGCTAAGGAAAGGATAGCTAGAAAGTACATTCCAGTCACAGGAAAGGGATCATACAGAGTTCCTGAGGTAGAAAATCTGGAGTGTTTTTTTTTTTTTAAAGATTGATTTTAAAGATTTATTTATTTTATTTATTTATGCATACGAGAGCTGGGGTGTAGGCCTGGGGGGCGGGGGATTGAGAGGATTCACCAGAGACAGAGTGGGGAGCAGAACAGGTGAATCTACTGAAATATACTGCTGAGGAGAGAAGCAAGGGAGACAGGAGAGGTCTGCTGTGCCATGTGGGTTAGTTCCCTGGCCTGGGATCAAACTCCTGCTGCAGTGGCTGCTGATTGCTTCATAGTGCTGAGACTTAACCACTTGTGCCACCAGGGAGGCTCATGGAAAATCTGGAGTGCTTAGAGAGCTGCAAGGCCCATGTGAGGTGGGCACACATCAGGCTTTCCCCCAGTAAATGCAGCTGAACCAATTAGCGAAGGATCATAAGGATGTTTCCAGTCAAGATGGAGTAACAGGGACTGAATTTACATTTGCAACTAAAATGCCCAACTAAATATATGAAGCAAATGCTCTCAAAACATTGGTTGCCAGACAGTGAAAAACACTTCTGAGAGCAGGAAATAAATGAGGTGAGTCCTACGCCTGCTCCAGCTGACAGCATGAAGAGTTTCCAGACTGGAATGCAGTGAGTGGAAGGCAGGTGGAGTCTGTGGTCATGTCTCACTGAAAAAAGGAAGGTACGAGTCAGGGGGCACAGGGCAGAGAGAAGCAACAAGAAAGAGCAATCAACAGAGAGAACAGAGTCCTACAGAAGGCATCCTTCAACAGTGCAGCTTAGTGCCTGTATGTGAAAAAGACCAGGATAAGAACAGCCCAAAAAGGATTATCGAGCTCTTGGAATTTTCACAGGGCTGGGAATAGTGCTGGCCCCACACACTAAAGTAGAAAGCTCACAATTAATGAATCAAGTGGAGCACTTTCAAGAGTTTTTGACTCAGAACTGGGTAAAAACAGAGGACTGCTCTGGGCTCACCTACAAAAGCAAGATCCAAAAGGACCAAATTATTTCCAAGGAATTTTTGCACCCCAGAACAAAGTTCAGGAATATTTATAATACCAAAACAGGGCCTTCTGGTGGCGCAGGGGTTAAAGACACCGCTATCAAGCTATTGCCAGCCACTGCAGCACACTCCCCCTGGCCAGGGAGCTAACCCACATGGGTTATCTCCTGTCTGCCTGCTGCTCCCCTCAGCAGTATATTTCAGTAGATCCTCCATTCTGCTCCCCACTCTGTCTCTGGTGAATCCTCTTACCCCCTGTACAGAGCCCCAGTTCTTGTATGCATAAACAAATATCTTTTTTTAAGAAGAGAATAGAGGACCTCCCTGGTGGCGCAGCGGATGAACGCTGGGTTGCGAAGCTGCCTGCAGCCTCTGCAGCGTAGGTTTGACTCATGGCCACCGGGCGAGGGTCCCACATGGCGGGACAGACCTCTCCTGCTGCTCGCTGCTCCCCTCAGCAGTGTATTTTGTCAGTCTGCCTGCTCTGCTCCCCGCTCTGGCTCTGGTGAATCCTCTCACCCTCCCGCACTTCTGACTGTACCCAGTGCTTGTATAAATAAATAAATAAATATATATATATATTTTTTTTAAATTAAGAAGAGAAAAGAAGGTATACCCAAACTCTCTGCTCCTCCCATCCAACCACCAGCTATATCTTCTTGTGCTGGTTGCATCACTGAGAAAACAATGGTAAAAGTGTGGTCTGGTCACCAGAGCTGCTTTTAATTCTGGCAGAGTGGATATTGTCACCATTAAGACCCATTCATTTACCTCAGCTACATCATCTACATATTCCAGTGTGATTCCACCCACGGCACATTCAAAGGCACAGTCAAGACCGAGAATGGGCAGCTTGTCATCAATGGCCTCCATCTTATTTTCCAAAATTTAACAATGTAAGAAAATTTTTTTAAAAAGATTTATTTATTTATGCATACAAGAGCTGGGGTACAGGCCAGTGGAGTGGGGGGTGAGAGGATTCACCAGAGACAGAGTGGGGAACAAAACAGGCAGAATGACTGAAATATACTGCTGAGGGAAGCAGCGGGCGAGCCAGGAGAGGTCTGCTGTGCCATGTGGGTAGCTGCCTGGCCAGGGATGGAACTCGTGCTTCAGTGGCTGCAGACAGCTTCATAGGTTGCGTCTTAACCCCTTGTACCACCAAGGAGGCCCGTAAGAAAATTTTTAAAAATTTTGATTTAATGCCTCCCTGGTGGTACAGGGGTTAAGTCTCAGCATAATCAAGCTATCACCAGCCACTGTGGCATGAGTTCCATCCCCGGCCAGGGAGCCAACCCACATGGCACAGCAGACCTCTCCTGTCTCGCCCACTGCTCCCCTCAGCAGTGCATTTCAGTAGGTATGCCTTTTCTGCTCCCCACTCTGTCTCTGGTGAATCCCCTCACACCTATTCCCCACTCCCAGTCTCTGGCCTACACCCCAGTTCTATACATAAATAAAAAAAAACTAAATAAATCTTAAAATAAAATGGTCTCCATTTTCCGGGGAAAAGATGTTGCCAAATCAAATAGAGTGATACTGATGCTGAATATGTTGTTAAGTCCATTAGTATCCTCACTACCCTGTGTAAACCAGGGCTTGCTTGAAGGGTGGGGCCAAAAGGGTTATCATCTCTATCTCTTTTGCTGATGCCTTCATGTTTTTTTTTTTTTTTTTTGCCTTCATGTTTGTGATGGATGTGAATCATGAGATATATGACAACCTCCTCAAGATTGTCAACGGTACCCCTGTACCACCAACTGCTTGGAACCCCTGGCCATGATCATCCATGACAACTTTGGCATCATGGAATGACTCGTGACCATAATCCACAACATTGCTACTACCCAGAAGACTGTGGACAGTCGCTCTGGGAAATTGTAGAGTGATGGCCAAGGAACTGCTCAGAACATCATCCTTGCTTCGACTGGGACTGCCAAAGTCACGAGTTTAGGTCATCCCTAAACTGAATGAGAAGCTCAATGGCAAGGCCTTCTGTATCCCTACCCCCAATGTATCAGTTATGGATCTGACTTGATGTTTGGAGAAAGCTGCCAAATATGATAACATCAAGAAAGTGGTGAGCAGGCATCAGAGAGCCCCCTAAAGGGCATAGTGGGATATGCTGAGAAGCAGATTGCCTCCTGTGACTTTAACAGTGACACCCACTATTTCCTAACTTTGATACTAGGGTTGGTATTGCCCTCAACAATCACTTTGTCAAGCTTATTTTACTGACATGACAATGAATTTGACTATAACAATAGGATAATGGACCTTGTGATCCACATGGTCTCCAAAGAAGAGCCCGCTGGACAACCAGCCCCACTGAAAGTACCAAAGCGGGGGCCTCCCTCGTGGCGCAAGGGGTTAAAATGCAGCACTATGAGGCTGTCCGCAGCCACTGTAGCATGAGTTCTATCCACCCCCCCTCCCCGCCCCCCCCCCAGCCCTGCAAGGGAGGGGAGCTGAGCCATCCAGCACAGCAGACCTCTCCTGTCTCGCCCGCTGCTGCTCCCCTCAGCAGCGTATTTCAGTAGATCCACCTGTTCTGCTCCCCACTCTGTCTCTGGTGAATCCTTTCTTCCCCCAAACCTCTGGCCTATACCCTAGTTCTTGTATGCATAAATAAATAAATCTTTAAAAAAAAAAAAGAGAGTACCAAAGGGGGAGAAACAAAGGTCCTTGGCCACTGGGGAGTCCCTGTCCCAACTCAATCTCTCAACACACAGAGAATCTTGCATTCTTGATAGAGTTTTCATTCCAGATCCCCACTGAGGAAGGAGGAATGATACCTTGTCATGTACCATTAATAAAATATAATTAGTAAAGTATGAAGGCCCCAAACAAAACCCAAAACAATAATACCAACATATATCATATATTGCTTTTATTACTTTTATTTTATATATTGCTTTTAAAAAGTGATTAAAAAAAAAGACTTAAAAGCAGCCAGAGAAAATACATGTTTTAAAAATACGGAGGTCAGTGGAGCTACATCTTTAAATACAAAAAGAAAAATATATATTGACTTAAAATATTTTACCCGGGAAAAAAATCTTTAAAAAAATGAAAGTGAAGTCATATGAGATGAAATTAGGTAGTAATGACAAAAAAGCCTGGAAAATTCACAGAATATTTGGAAATTAAGCCACAACTTAAAAATAACTAAATGATCCTAACAAGAAATCACAAGGGAAGTTAGAAAATATTTTAATTAAGAAGAAATCACAAAGGAAGTTAGAAAATATTTCAAAATACATAAGAATGGAAACATAATAAACCAAAACTATGGGATGCAGCTAGAGGGATGTTTAGAGGGACATTTATAGCTGAAAATGCCTATATATTGTAACGAAGAGCTCAAATCAACAATCTAATTTTCCACCTTAAAGCACTGGAAAAGGAGAGCAAACTAAACCTAAAGCAATCAGAGCTAAGGAAATAATGATGATTAGTGTATAAATTAATGAAACAGAGAGCAGAAAAATAGAGAAAATCAGTAAATTAAAAGCTGGTTATTTGAGATGATCAGCAAAATTGGCAAATCTTTAGTTGGAATAGTAAAGAACAAAAGGGATAAGACACAAATTACTAGAACCAGAAACGAAAGAGGGTACATGACTAACTGAACTTACAGAAATAAAATGGATTCTAAAGGACTACTATCAACAAATATACACCAATAAATTGCAACTTAGATGAAATTCCTAGAAAGAAATTATCATATTAATCAAGAAGAAACAGACAATCTAGATAGACCTACAACAAGAAATTTAACTATTAATTTTAAAATGACCCACAGGCTCAGATGTTTTATTGATGAATTCTACCAAACAGTTAAAGAATTAATACCAATTCTTCACAAACTTTTCAAGAAAATAGAAAAAGGAATACTTCTTAACTCATTCTATCAGGTCAGAATTACTCTGATAACAAAAGTAGATAAAAATGTAAGAAAACTACAGATTAGTATCTCTTATGGATATAAACACACAAAAAAAATCCTCAACAAAATACTAGCAAAACATATCCATCAATACATGAAAAGTATTACATACCATGACTATGTAGGATTTATCCAGAAATGGAAAATTGGTTTAGCATCCAAAAATCAATACCTTTTTTTCCAATTTAAGTAACTTGTTTCAATTGAAAACAATTTAGAGACAACATCCTTTTGTTATACAGATCATAATAAGTATTGCTAGGTGAAACGGAAGTATTTTTAGTACCTTAAATCAAATTGTAGAGAACAGGAAAAATAGGTCATTTACAAAACCTATTACCTACATTTGTACTCAGGGGTACAAATTTGATGACAGTGAAGATTTATGTAAATGTTGGCATCTCAGAAGCAGTTCTCAAACACCTTAGCTTTATTTTCTTGGATTTTAAGAATACCTAAGGTCCTTCTTCATCCTTGATCTTGGGAGCCAGATAGTACTTTATATGGCCCATATCAGCAATTTTATATTCTACAGCAAGGGGTACATCTGCAGACATACCGAGTGTTACTGTAGGAGAGAGTGGAGTAGCTTGTGTAAAGAAGATCAGATATCTCAATGCAAAAGTTAGCTGGACCGGCTCATTAACCTCTATGGTAACAGATTCAACCTCTTTTTTACCTCTTGTTTGTGACAACTTAATATTTCCATTTCCAAGCTCTCCACTTACAGAAAACTTCACTTCATCGTTTACACAGGCAATCACAATAGTATCTCCAATGTGACTGAGATCTCGGCATATACGTGCGAATTCAACAGAAGGCATTTTTACTACACAGCTATGTTTTTGTGCTGGAATTCCAAATTGCTCAACATCTAAATCCATTAACTTCATTTCGTAATCTGAAACTTTCTCTTGATTTGGAGCTTCAAATACTAGCGCCAAGGTATCTGCATTATTTTCAGTCCTTAGTGTAATGATGTCTTCATTGCCTGCACACCTTAGTATTTTGGACATGTTGGTGATGTCCACACCTATGGCTAGGTTGCGATCACAGCGGTAAGTGTCAAAGCCCTCTGGGCGCAGGGTGAGCTGTACCAAGGAGACATGGGTCGCATCCATGCTCTGCAGGTTCATGCCGGTGGAGCTGATATCCCAGCAAGCCTCATTGATGAAATCCTTAAGTGCTTCCAGCACCTTCTTCAGGATTGATCCCTGGATTAGGCGTGCCTCAAACATGGTGGCAGAATCCCAACGACAAGGCTACAGGTCGTAGAAAGGAGAAAGGTAGCTGGCTTTGACTTCACGGATGAGAGCGAGCGAATAAACACAGTGGCAAGAGCCTGAGACCCAGGAAGACCGCTTATACTTTATTAATAGAATGGGAGAAAAAAACACAACAGACGATTATCTCACTAGATGCAAAAAGGCATTTGATAAAATCATTCATAATTCATAAACCCATTCATAATAATAATTTTTATAATAATGAATAGACGGGAATTTACCCACTCTGACAAAGGACAAGAGAAAAAGTCCACAGCTAACCTCATACTTAATAGTGAAAGACTTGATGCCTCCCCCTAAGATCAGAAATAAGATAAGGATGTCTCCTCTCGATACTTCTATTAAACATTGTAGTTGAGGTTCTGTTTAGGGCTATTAGGTAAAAAGTTATAAAGGCATCAAGATTGGAAAGGAAAAAGTAAAACCTTTTGAAGATGACATGATCTTATATATAGAAAATCCTAAGGAATCCACGAAAATACTATGAGAACGAATAAACAAACTTAGCAATAGACAAGTTGCAGGCTCAAATATCCATATACACAAATAAACTGTATTTTTTCTTTTTGTTGAAGTAGCATTAGTTTATGATGTATTTCTATATACAGGCCAATAATCTGAAAAAAATTTCAAATTCCATTTATAATAGCAGCAAAAATAATAAAATACTTAAGAATAGATTTAATTCAGAAAACTCTGTTGAAAGTCGTCTAGATAAATGGAAAAATATCCCATTTCCATGGGTCAGGAGAAAGAATATTAGGGTGGAAGAATTCCCCATTTGACCTACAGATGACAACACAGTTCCAATCAGAATCACAGCTTTGTGGGGTTGACAAGGTAATGTTAAAATTCACATAGAATTGCTAGGAACCCAGATTTACCAAAACAATCTAGAAAAAGAAGAACAAAGTTGGAGGAATCCACCCTTCTTGACTTCAAGACTTACTGCACCTTAAATGCTTATTACTAAGTGAAAGAAGCAAACCTGAAAAAGCTATATATACTCTATGTTTCTAACTCTATGAGACATTCTCAAAAAGACAAAACTACAGAGATTGTGACTTCCTCTGCAGAGCACAAAGTTGTTTCAGGGCTGTGAAAATGTTCTGTATATATGATAGATAGATGATTATATATTTGTCCCAATCCATAGAAGAGTGATCTGTAAGGTAAACTATGGATACCGGGTAATTATGATGTGTCAATGCAGGTTCATTTTTGGTTAAAAGAAAAAAGTGTAACATTCTTGTGAGTGATATAACTGGAAGGCAAGGGGTGTATGGGAAATCTCTACATCTTCCTTTCAATTTTGCTCTTAAAAGTCTTGGGGCCTCCCTAGCAGTGCAAGGGGTTAAGATGCAGCACTATGAAGCTATCCACAGCTACTGCACCATGAGTTCGATCCCCTGCTAGGGAGGTGACCCACATAGCACAGCAGACCTCTCCTGACTCATCCACTGCTCCCCTCAGCAGTGTATTTCAGTCTGCCTGTTCTGCTCCCCACTCTGTCTCTGGTGAATCCTCTCACCGCCCCCACACCTCAGGCCTGTACCCCAGTTCTTGTATGCATAAATAAATAAATCTTTTTTAAAAATTAAAAAAAAAAGGAAAGTCTTAAACAAGAAAATGAAGCAGCAACAAAAAATCTTACTATAAAGCAACCAGTGTGTAGTACTGGCATAAGGATACACATACATATCAATCAATGAAATAGAATTGAGAATCCAGAAATAAAACCATGTTTCTATGTTCAATTGATTTTTTTTTTAAGATTTATTTATTTATTTATACAAGCACTGGGTATAGTCAGAAGTGCCGGAGGGTGAGAGAATTCACCAGAGCCAGAGGAGGGAGCAGAGCAGGCAGAAGGACCGAGGTACACTGCTGAGGGGAGCAGCGGGCGGCAGGAGAGGTCTGCACGCCGTGTGGGACCATCCTCTGGTGGCCGGGGAGCAGCCGGGGATCGAACCGGTGCTGCAGAGGCCGCGGGCAGCTTCGCAACCCAGAGCTCAACCACTGCACCACCGGGGAGCCTATCATGAAGTCTTTAAGCCAATAAATTTGATCAGTTAGATAAAATGGACAAATTCCATAATAAAAGACACAAAGGGTGTCAGTGAATTAAAAAAAAAAATAACCTAATTAGGCATACATCTACTAAAGAAAGGGAATTTAGGGCCTCCCCAGTGGCGCAGCGGTTGAGCGCTGGGTTGCAAAGCTGCCCGCAGCCTCTGCAGCGCCGGTTCGATCCCCGGCTGCTCCCCGCTCTGGCTCTGGTGAATTCTCTCACCCTTCCGTGCTTCTGACTGTAACCAGTGCTTGTATAAATAAATAAATCTTTTAAAAAATAATAAAATTATAAAAAAAAAGGGAATTTACTGGAAAAAGGATAGTCCCTTCAACAAATGATGCTGGAGTAATTGGATGGACAGACACAGAGACAAACACACACACTTTGAAAGATATCTATGTGCCCAAATCAACTCAACATCAATGACAGACTTAAAACTTCAAATCATAAAATTACATGCACCTATTAGAATTTCTAAAATGAGGGCCTCCCTGGTGGTCCAGCGGTTGAGCGCTGGGCTACGAAGCTGCCCGCAGCCTCTGCAGCACTGGTTTGATCCCTGGCCACCAGGCGAGGGTCCTAAATGGTATGACAGACCTCTCCTGACCCCTGCTGCTCCCCTCAGCAGTGTACTTCGGTCCTTCTGCCTGTTCTGCTCCGCGCTCTGGCTCTGGTGAATTCTCTCACCCTCCCGCGCTTCTGACTGTACCCAGTGCTTGTACAAATAAATAGATAAATATTTAAAAAAAAATAGAATTTCTAAAATTAAGACAGAAGTGTTTGGTGAAGACATGAAACTATTCTATTATTATAATTTTAGTCCATTGCTGGAGGGATTGTAAAACAGTCTAATCACTTCAGCAAACAGTTTGGCATGTTTTTTTTTTTTTTTTTTACAAATTAAGCATATACTCCTATGATTATGACCCAGCCATTCCACTCCTCAGTATTTATCCTAAATGCATACATCCATACAAAGACTTGTACATGGATGTTCACAGCAGCTTTATTTGTAGTAGCCAAAACCTGGAAACAACTCAAATGTCCATCAACAGGTGAATAGTAAACAAATTGTTGTATATTCATGTAACTCATTACACTCAGCAACAAAAATGGAGCGGCCTATTAAGATATACAATAACATGGATGAGTCTCAAAATGATTATGTTGACTGAAAGAAGACAAGAAAAAGTGCATAGTACACAACTCCTTTATATTAAATTCTAGAAAATGCAAACTGATTTATAGTGACTGAAGGCAGTTCAGAGGTTGCCTGGTGAAGGGTTGGTTTGTGATCCTGTGGTATCTTCTAAACATGTCTGAACTGGCAGCTTCCTCATCTGGAAAAATAATACCAACCCCCGGCCTCAGGGGTTAAAATGCTGTAAGGAGTTTGGGTTCTGCTAGACACAGAAAAATCTCAGGTTGCTTTAAGCACCTCTGCCCCTGCCCCACCACCCTTACCCTTATCTGTTCCTCAAACTGAAGCTAGCTGACTGCAAAACATTTTTAAAATTACACTGGACTTTGTCATATGGTTAAATCTTTTAGATGCCTGATTAAGTTTCTTTGTCTTGAACATTCTTCCAGAAGTTCACATGTGAGCCTCAGGGAGCCCATAGGCCCACAGCAGCCTCAGAGTGTAAAATGGAGCTAAATCCACCTCTTTTCCCTTACCCCAGTTCCTTCTGACTCTCTCACATGCTAATGCGCACTGTGAACCTCCCAGGGTACTGTTGAGGGGTGGCAGGGGAGCAATGGAACCTCCAAAACTTAATTCTTGTAGCAACTACCAACATCTCCCTGAGCAGGGACTACTGCCTGCCCTTTACCTTACTTGGGCTGTCTTTTCTACGCATATCTCTCCTCAGCTCCAACCTTTCATTTCAAACTGCCTGAGAGGCAAGTTTTCTACCAAACCTGACTTTCTTCTCTGTCCTATTCTAGCTCCCTCTGCCCAGGCCTCAGTCAAGGCCCAGTGGCCCCCCTATACACCCCTAAGGCCCTGTAGTTTTTGCCCCCATGACCCCTGGTCTAGCTCCTTAGCTCCTACACCTTTGGGTTCAATTCTCCTTCCTGCCTTGTTGACGAGAAAGCTCCTCTTTGTTTATCTGGTTCCAGTACTGTGGTCTCTCGGGCCTTCCCATCTGGGTAGCTAAAGCCTGCAAATGGTCTCCCACTCTCCTTGGGCACATGATCTTAACTCATGTGCTGAAGGCAGCTGCATCACTGGTGGGATCCAATGTATAGAGGAGGTGCCCTATACACCTCCTCTTTCCAACTAGCTGCCGTTGGAAAGATTGAGTCTAATTGAACTCCTTTGCTTTACAGTGGAGGCACACAGTTGGAGAGAGGTATGTGACCTTACACCACCAGCCAGAAACAAGCCTGAGGGGGGTCTCCTGACAGGCTCCTCCCCATGCCAGGCTTTTTCTGCTACTCACTTAGGGAAGGAAGTCCTCCAGGGCTGAGTGGGGGCCACCTTTTTTTTTTCCCTAGGAAAATAGGTGTCTAGAGCTCACCTACAGACTTTGGCAGAGAGCTGGGTAGAAGCCTCTTGTCAGCCCTGCTTCCCACTCTGTCTCTCAGAGCCTTCCCACCAGCCTTCTGCAATTCCTAGCACTTCCACCACCTGTCACTGCCTGAGGCAGAAAGGACCTTAAAAATCATTCATCCAGGGGGCCCACAAAGTGCTCCCCATTCCTGCACCTCCCCAGATGTATGCACAACTGTGTGTGTAGATTTCTGGAGTGTGCACCTGAAACTCAGTGGGAGTGATATACACTGAGATACAGAACTCACCTGCCATGCCCCTCTATAACACCTTTAGAGATGTTATTGCATGTAAGGTTCTTACAACTGTACCTGGCATATATCAAGTGCTGTTTAAGCCAAGCGTTAGCTTATAGTCTGATTTTATCAACAAGTTTTATTGGAACAGACACAACTATGTTTTTATATTGTCTATGGCTGCTTTCTTGTTACAGCTACAAGGACAGAGTTGAGC